TCGTTGTATTGTTCCCAATTTCCATATATGTTTCATGCCATTTTTAAAAATATGTTTTACCAAAACTTTACTTCCTGTTGAAAAGTCCGTCCTGCGATGTCCTCCAAATTGTTTACGCTGTAAGGTCTGTTTAACAAAAACATTGTTTTGAACTGTGGATGCTAACGACTCAGATGTATTATTATTGCTATTAGGTTGAATAACGCGTAACAAATCGAGCCGGCAGCGCAGTGCTCGCCCTAGTAATAGTTGCGCTGGTGAAAAACCGGTTGTGCAATGTGTCGAATTGCGATAATTGAATAAAAAATTGTTTATTTTTTTCATAATATCTTTTTGATGTGTGTTTTCTCTTAAAATATTCCGTACACCCTTCTTTAACGTCTTCACGCTATTTTCAGCCTGACCATTGGACGCCGGGTGGTATGGTGCTATAGTGACGTGTTTAATACCATTTAATACACAAAAATCCTCAAATTGCGTGGAACAAAAATTTGTCGCATTGTCTGTCACTAACGTGTGAACCAATCCAAACCTACTAAATATCTCATTTAGTTTATTAATTACCGACTGGCTATCGGTATTAGACATTAAAAAACACTCAATCCATTTTGAATAGGCATCGACAGCTACTAAAAACTGATGCTTGTCAATTGAAAACATGTCCAAATGAATGCGTTCCCAAGGTCGTGCTGGGAATGCCCACGGCGCGAGGGGAGAACGAGGGGGTAAACTACGCTGAGAATTGCATAAACTACAAGAACCTATTTTTTCTTCAATATGTCTATCAATATTTGGCCACCAAAAACGAGTTCTTGCTTCCGTTTTTGTACGTACTACCCCAAAATGGGAACTATGCAATTCATTCAATATGTGCTCTCTGAACTTGTGAGGAATTACTACTTTATGACCTCGTAAAATACATTCATTCTCTAAGGATAATTCGAAACGACATAAGAAATAAGGCTTTATATTAATATCTGTCATCTTGGGGGGCCATCCCGTTTTAATATAATAAGCTACTTTCTTCAAAATTCCATCTAAACCTGTTTCTTTTTTAATGTCCTCTACTGTGATAGGTTTTAACATTGAGTCTTCAATAAAATTTATATAAGTTATGGGATCAATATTTAATTTATTTTTATCGTCGAACATTTCCATTGCATTTACACTACGCGACAAAAAATCTGCTACGTTATTATCTCCTTTAATGTATTCAATTTTAAAATTATACGCAGATAAAAATAGGGCATAGCGCTGTAATCTGTTTGCTGCCATCTCTGGGACTCCTTTTTTATTACCAAAAATCGATATAAGTGGCTTGTGGTCTGTACGCAAAATAAAAGGGGTCGAACGCCCATATAAATAATGGTGGAATTTTTTTATCGCAAATACAATCGAAGTAGCTTCTTTTTGAATTTGTGCGTAATTACGTTCAGAGTTAGATAAGGAGCGTGACGCGTAGGCGACCACGCGTTCCGTGCCGTCTGGTTGCCGCTGCGCCAACACAGCGCCCAGCCCCTGCGGTCCGGCGTCCGCCGTCACTATGGTCTGGTACTCTGGACTGTAATGAGCCAATACCCGATCTGACGACAATTCTGACTTAATTTTATTAAAAGCTCCATTTTGTTCTTTCCCCCACGTCCACTTAGTGCCTTTTTTTAATAAAGCGTGCAATGGACTTAATACACTAGATGTGTTAGGAACAAAACATCTATAATAATTTATCATTCCTAAAAATGATTTAAGCTCTGTAACGTTTTTTGGACAATTACTATTAATTATAGCGTTTACTTTACTTTCTGATTTATGCAAACCATTTTTATCTATACGAAAACCTAAGTATTCTACACAATCTTTAAAAAGATCGCACTTTTCCCGTTTCAAACGTAAACCAGCTTCTTGTAGTCTCCACAAAACCTGTTCTAACCTATTCAAATGTTCTTCTTTTGTAGACCCTGTGATCAAAATGTCGTCTAAAAATATACATGTACCCTCTATATCACCTAATAACTGTTCCATTGTGCGCTGAAAAATAGATGGCGCGTTAGATAAACCGAAAACTAAACGATTATAAATAAACAAGCCCTTATGTGTGTTAATACATGTTAAATATTTAGAATCGTCCAATTCTAGCTGGTTGTAGGCCCTGGATAAATCTAATTTAGAAAATTGTAATCCGCCATGTAATTTCGCAAATAAATCTTCGATGCGCGGCAATGGATAATTGTCCATAAATAATGCTTTATTTAGCGTCACTGAAAAATCGCCACAGATCCTGATACCACCATCAGAACGCAATACCGGAACGATCGGTGTAGCAAATTCGGAATGTTCTACTCTTTCCAAAATACCTAAGTCCGATAATCGCTGTAACTCACCTTCTACTTTATGTTTCAACGCTAAAGGTACCGGGCGAGCTTTGAAAAATTTCAATTGAATATCCGGTTTAATTTTTAAATGTACCCTGTATTTATTAAATGTACCCAGTTCATTTCTAAACAGCTTTTCATACTTTTTAATAAGAAAACTATCGATATTATAATTTTTTAAATGATTTAAATCATGTAGCGTGCTACATAATTTCAATTTAAAATTACTTATAAAATCCCTGCCCAATAATGCCGGTTGATTATCGTGAGTAACGATAACAAACAATTTAATGAACTTAGTACATCTCTCAAACGTTATCGGTAATGATACATACCCCAACGGTGATATTTTACTTCCATTATAGCAATTCAACACAACATTACACGATTTAAGGTTATGTTTATTTTTAAAATATGACTGGTATATATCGTCCGGTAAAACTGATACCGCGCTGCCGCTGTCTATTTCACACAATATGTCGCTATTGTCTATAGTAACTACCTGACGCATCGGTTGCCCGTCTATACACTCGATACTAAATAAATCAAAATTACCTTCTACCACGTCGTCGTTATCATCCACAGTGACCAAGTATTTACAACTGTTCACTTTTGATTTACACATTCGTTGCAAATGTCCCTTCTTATTACACCTTCGACATATATATTCTGAATAACGACACTTTTCTTTCGAATGGTTTTTGTAACCACACACATCACACGGTACGTTCTGACTTGCTGTTCGAGCTGGACGAGATCTCGCCGCCGGCGCCACCGGCGCCGCTGGTGTCCCGGTGCGGCCGATGCCGGTATGCAACGCATATACCGGTTGTTGCTGGTGCGCTGTCCCTGTGTCTGCCCGTGACGATTGCAATGCCAAGCGCGAACACCGCACTCTCTGTGCTATTTCCAGCGCATTGTTAAAAGTCAAAGTATCAATGGATTCGGCGAATAATTTTTCCTTCTCTTTTACGTTTTCCAATCCAAGAATAAAACGATCTCTCAAGGCGGTATCTAACTCCGTTTTAAAACCACAATACTGTGCTAAATGTCGCACTCGCGCTGCCCATTCTGCTAATTCTTCTCCCACCCGCTGTTCTGCTTTATAAAATTGGTATCGCTCCGCAAATGTACTCTTTTTTTCACAAAAATGCGTATCCAATTTTTCTAGAAGCAATTTAAATTCCTCATTCTCCAAAGGCGTAGGGAAAACAATATCCCGGGCTACGCGGTATGTATCTTCCACCAAAGCAGTTAATAATAATGCGCGTCGTTTCACTCCACTTTTATCACTTCCGTCATTTATATCGTTTGCAGTGCAGTATTGGATAAAACGACTCTTGAATATACCCCATTCTTGTGAGCGGTGGTCAAACGTGAGACTGCCCCCGAACAACATATTTCCGTAACTTGCCATCACTTCTACGATATCTATTTATAAATACAGCTTTAATTACACGTGTGAATTATTTCTCGTCGCCAATATGTAATGTATGTCCAGAGATATCGAAATAAAAACGCAAGATTACTATTACTTGGTTACTGGTCGGTTACAGACTAAATGACATTTTGTTTCTTAGTTACCTTCAATAGTGTAACTTGATACCCTCAAATACTACAAAAATATAATATTGTCACCCCAGTCCGACAATGACGTGATAAAAAGGATGAATTTTAACCCTACTTCTATATTAATGTTGACCTTAGTTTTATGGGTCATCAAAATGGATTCATGTTGCACATTTAATAAAGGACTGCGAAAGTAGTTCTTGTGTATCTAATTTAGATTACAATTTATCTAAATTCACTCAACCAAGTATGTGTTTACGATTGAACTTAGTCCATAGAAAGTTCGTTATCAAGTTTCTCTAAATTCACAGTACAATGAAATACTTAATAAACTAAGAGAAAATGGGTACTACTACTACTAAATACAAGGTAAAAAGTATGAAAAAATATCAAACGATACATTTTTTTAAACAAATTTCAAAAGGAGATTCTCAATTATCTAAATTTTCTTGTAAATGTTTCATGATAACTTTGCCAATTATAATTCATGTCTTGGTCCCATTTTAATATCGTGATGATTAAAGTTGCATTTTTGAGCAAAAAGCTTCGTGTGTCGAAGAAAAATCTATTTAATTATTTTATTATTTAATAAATTATGTAGTTTTTTTATGATTGTAGTGGTGGATTCGGGATGTTGTTATCTGCTGAAAAAACCCCGTAAAAAATTAAATAGTTACTTTTTTCAAATTTCATTATTTATTATTTACGAGATAAATTTATATTTGCATGGGTACTATAACTTAATAATACATGTAATTAGGTTCTATTACTTATAGTATTACTAAATGGGAAATAGACAAACAAACATGAACAGGCCAAATCCTACAAGCAGCTGCCGTTCACGAGTATGACGGATGAGCCAGCTATCATTATGCTCAACCATATTCTAGGAAACTCGACGACCCGGCCCATCACATCGCCACAAATGAAAACGTTATAGTGAGCATGACTAGCTTCAAATTACTTGAATACATCACGAGTACATTTATTACCTAATTATTATTTACCTAAAGCCGTGTCCTGTCTCAAAAATATATTTAAGTGAAGGTATAATTTACTTACTAAATGAATTTGATCGTAGTTGAGTAGGTACAGGAGGGCACAACACCTCGCTGCCAGTACTGCCGACGCTGGCGACCTCACGTAGTTCACCCAACGATGACGAGCGCAGAGCAGGAAGTGAGAAGTTCACTTCTTTTGTCCTGTGTCCCAACAACAAACATAAGACAAGAGTTAATAAAAAATCATAGGAATTTAGCTAAAACTTAGATTATATAGATAGAGCATCGTGTCTAAAAAAAGGGTCAACTTTTTGTCAGCTAATTAGCTGACTAGTTTTTTTATCAATGTTCTATATATTTACGCACATTATGCATCTTGACGTATCTATATCTAATTATTTAATAAATAAAATGAGTGTTTACGCATTAAAAAAATCCAAAAATTATAAAACAAAATAAATATAGAAGTTATAAAGGAAACACTCATAGCTATTTATCACGCAAAATTATATGAGAAAGTTGATCCGCTTTTCCAGAAGCATTTGTATGGAGACACTCTATCTATATAATGTAATAGCTAAAATTTAAGCTAAAAACTTTTCGTATTATAAACTCCCACTCGTATTATACTTACAAGCAGTTGTACTTGCGTGGCTGTGATTCGGTATTTAGGGTGGGATAGGTATCATATTTTCATTTTAGTCCTCAGGAATAATAACATGAATTGCACCATTGGCGTGCTAGTGTATTTTATGATTTACATAATAGTGATTACAAATGTCCATCAAGTAAACTGTTTATCTTTTACCATTCAAAGTGGCATAAAAAAATAGAGTGATTCGCACCACAAATTCGCTTTTGAAATAGAAAAAATGTGACTATTAAATAGCAATATTTATGTATTATAGTTACAATATCTATATATTAATCTAATAACAATTACAATCATCACCCAATATCTATGTTTATATTACATATTCATACATATATATTATTACATATACATTATTACAATAATCATTCAATAGACAATAATAAATAACTCTAAAATAAATAACTCTGCCCGGTAAATAATTCACAACCACATTTAATATTTTTTATTTTATTTTCAATTGACTTCATTTAACTAACCAGATGCATTTAAGCTTACAGAAAATATTACTGTACAGTATTTAATTATACTACTAATATTTAAATGAAATAAATTTATGCTGGTTGAAACTTTTCCCGATAAAATTGCGCAATTTCCGCACGTATTTCTTATTTTTCCGCCCATTAATCATAATCACTCACACCTACAGCTTGTAACGTCAGAACGAGCGGTATTACAATTTGTATTCTTAGACATTCATTCGTGACAAAGTAGGGTCAAATTAACCGTGTAATGTAATATATTTTATGACATAACAAAGGTGTTAATAGCTAGCAACCGTAAAAATAATTAACGTGTTACAGTTACCTACTAATTAAGAAAAAATATTTCTAGTTTACCATTTTAGTGTCTCTTTAATTATACGTAAGAGAGTTTTTTTTTACTTCAAAAAACATTCAATCTTTAATTTATTTTATTTTATTTAATTAATTTCGCCAACTTTTATGTTGGTTACATATTAATTGTGTTAAATTAAAATTCTACTTATAAGTATTTTATTGAAAAAAATATTTAATAACTGTCATAAATAAATAAATACCACTGAACATAGTATATACAGCGTCATTTGATCTTAAACCAACCAAAGTTTGTACTATATGTGCCAAAAAATTAAAAGAAATATTTTTTTTTAATACATAAATATTATAAATAAAAAATGCCCAAATCAGTACGTATTGTGCAAAATTCTATTCGAAAATTATGTTAGTTGAAATCAAATAAATGGTGATATTTTATAGGTAAAATTAAATAGTATTAAATTTAGTACAAATTTAATTTTATATGTACAAAATAATTGCTCTGATCGCGCCGTCAATAATAGTGAAAACTTTTTTCCTAAACTGCCCAAACCTTTACTATAAAAAAAGGATATTTAACTACCGAACTGTATTTACACCTCGGTTTTATTTAGTGTAGGTTTGACACTTTTATTTCTTTACCAAATCGTGGAAAAACTCTTAGACAAAATAAACAAAGAAAAGAACCTAACGCCTACTTTCACGAGGTTAATGACTCCATTGAGTTATTAGAGAAAATGAACCTTGCTGCATGACGTCACGTAATTCCCGTCCTTTATTTATTCTTACTGTGCCCTGGGCATAAACAGACCAATTGTAATTTATTGCCTCACCTGTGGACTAAACACAAGAAAAAATTAAACCACGGACTATATTTGGAGCCAGTTGATTGAAACTAGTGAACGAAAGATTAAATATAAAACCATGTGTCAGCTCAACGTATGTGCTTAAAATGTTTTTAAATAAAATGAACATTTTCAACAAAAACGTGCAAACATTCAGTCCGAATGAGACAATCACACCTATACACCGATCTTTGTTTATCCTTGATTTTGATTTTAGATTGTGAACTCTGGTGAACAAAGGGTATATTTTTGTAAAGCCGTAGCCGTACAATCTATACCGATATTCGATAGTGTAGGCACCCGTTCACCAAATACTGTTTATTCTTGATCTTATTTCCAGATTATGAATTCGAGTAAACGGATGTCATTTTCACCAATATAAAGGTGTAGAATAACAATTCTGTGCTTATATCTGAGTTTATTAATTATAGTATACCCGACGACCAAAGTGAGAATTCATAAAAAAGTTGTTTGCATGGATGTAAAGTTTTTTTTATATAACTTAGAATGACAAACAAATTGACGGCCCACCTGATGGAAAGTGATAACAATCGCCTATAGACATAAGAATTACTTCATTTTTCACTTTATACCAAAGCATAAACATGTAAACATAGTTGCCAGAGGGAGACTTTGTACAAGTCATTTGCTTGGGCACCTCTGTCCCATTCGTGTTTCTACCGTGAAGCAGTTGTGTTTGCGTGGCTATGTTTCGACTTGAAGGGTGAGAATATGGCAGTGAATTTACAGGGTAAAGAGGAATAACACCATCAATTACCCAGTAAAATCACGCCACGCCATTCACGTCTGTTTAGAAAGCTACATTATTAGGAAGTAATATGGGCTGTATATAATTGAAAATCTGTGTAAAGGCGTGAATTTATAGGGTACAGAGGAATAACACCTAAGTCCTCAGTAGTGGCAACGCATGGGGGGTATCATGGTCGCAACAATATACTCTGTTATGTTCATGTCTATAGGCGACGGTTACCACTTTCCATCAGATGGGCTGTCAGCTTGTTCGCCTTTCTAAGTTACATAAAAAAACTTATGCCTAATATTCACCATGTGTACCTTAGTTTTCCACGTAAAAGTTAAATAAATATATATATTCTTCCTAAAGGAGAAAGTTTCTAATTTATTACATGTTGTGTAACAGTGCTAGCAGTTGCGTCGTTCATTCGACCCTTATAATTGTTGATGTGTTGTAATTGTTTGCTACATATAATTCCACATTTCTGTGGCAAATAGATGACCGATAAGAACTTCGCTATCTACGCAGTAATCGGTGATTGTTACTCCAAAAAAGCGTTGACAAAGCAATAGACTTTAATGATATTGTTACGACTCACACTTATATGCTGTATACACACGTAAATAATGCATGCCGATTACTTCCTATTATTCTGAATCATATTTTTAAAATAATTCACATGCGTTACATTACTAGCTGTTTCTAGCTGCTTTACCTACGTACATCAGTTCAAAAAGTATCATGCGTATTAAGACCATTTACCAAATTTCATCCAAATCCATTTAACCATTTAAGTGTGAGTAAGAAACAATAACATCTTTACAAACATTCATCATCATCATATCAGCCATTAACTGTCCACTGCTGAACATAGGCCTCCCGGGGGGAAAGGGATTGTAAGTAATGGAGATTGAGAATCCCATTGCTAGCAATATGCCCACCCAGGTCGACCTCCTCGCGGTTCCCCCTGGAAACTATCATGATTAATTCCTGATGAATTCATCATGATGGGCTAACGGGCCTGTTCATCTGTTCATCCTCATCGATCACCCTTCACTAGTGCCCCGCCAGTGTATCCCATTAGCGCAGGCGGGGCTACTATTCCATTTTCTACCAATAAAAAAAAAATAGGCCTCCCCATTAGGGGGGGTTTTGCCAATAGTTGCCACGCTTGACAGGCAATTTGACAACAATAGTTAGATTTTACGTAGTGATGTTTTAAGAGCGAGTACTTTTTAAGTACAGTTTCTACAATTTGCATCAGTGTGAAACTGGAGTAGGTCGCTAGTTATAGTATAAACTCAGGTAACATAGGAAATAAATGACGCTATTAGACATTCGTATTTTATTACTGTATAAACTTTACAATATAATAATAATATTGTGTAAATTGGTCATTATTTTATTTATTTTATTAATTCCACGTACAAGCCATTAAAATTTCATTAGGTAGTATGCTAAAACTCCGAGTTCGTTTGTAGATAGAAATCAGATTACGGACGAAAGAGCTACGGTCGATTCGCAATGACGTAGCATCACGTAGCACCATTTAATGTCCACCTTCACATCAAGGTACGCCTACGAGTTAATCGACTTATTTGCATGAGTAACCAATTCTATAAAGTAACATTGACGTTCGCACAAATATTACGAATATTCCTTGTTAACGCTGTAAATAGAAAATGTCTTTAAAGAAAGATTCTTTATTTATTTATTTATTATTCACTTGAAACATGAGATACATAGGCATGTAAATGTACACGTATGTATGTATTTACATACTTAATATTATTATTAATAAATAACGTTAAAGAAGCCGACAGTAAATGATAACCGTCATTTATACAGACACAGACCATTTTTTCATAATTTACAAAATTACAAGTCGAGTTTTATTTAATTATGTCATTTCTATTATAAATTTATAAAATTTTATTGAATTCTAAATTCAAGAAAATAGCAAATATTATATATGATATAAAAATGATTAAAAGTATGTAATAATGTTTATATGCAATAAAGTATACATATAATAATGTGTAAGTATGCAGTAATGATTTTATTTCATAATAATAATAATTGTATTATTTACAATTTTTAATTACATTAATAAGTTTCAAATTCAGTTTATATATTATTCATATTTTATGAAT